CAAACAGGTTTCAACGAAGCCTTGGCTCCCTTCCAGTTCCGGCTCTGACCTTTCTGCATCAGAGTGGCCGAAGCCGGTGCTGGGAGCGAAGCAGGAGCCGGCAGTAGACAATGATCTTCAACTGGTCTTCCCCAATCTTCTTGTAGACAAAGGTGTACTCAACCCCGATGTCTGCTTTAGATGCTGCGTTGGTGAAGTAGTAATACCCCTGAGCAAGCGCAACATCCCCCACACAACTGATCTGGTCGTTGAAAAATAAGACCTTTGCCCAAGTATCGCCGGAAGCAATGGCAAACCCTTTGTCTTCCGGGATGCCGCCGCCGCCGGCATAGTCGTTGGTGGCGTTGTTGCCCACGAAGTATGACAACGCACCTTGGGCAGTGGGGCGAAAAGGCCAGGGTCGGCTTGAAGGTAACCGGTCCAATGTCATAGCCGTAGAGGGTTTCTATAGCTTCTGTCGCGATCGTGACAAAGTCCGAGCTTGTGTTATTCTGACGGTAAGCTGCAGAGATGTCGAGGATGGCATCCTTCCAGTCCTGCTGAGCGGCGTGGACATCCGCTTCGCAGTTCCATTTTGGATAGGTATGCTGCCACCTCCATGCTGCAGTTCCGACTGCAGCACCATCCTCTGAGGCATGGCTGCGCTGCAACAGAACATTTTCCTCGCTCGGAGCGCAATCCATGCATGTGGCTTGTGCTCCTTGCTGTCCCAAAGCAAGGGCTGCAAGGCCAGTCAATAGCACCGAGTGGTTGATCATCGCTCTTGGGCTGTCGGCTTCCGGACCTCCCTCAATCGAAAGCAGGTGCTTCTGACTTCGCTACAGCGAAAAGCTTGAGCGAAGTCGCCAATGCGTGCCGCGGGTTGTACGGGATCGGTGCTTTGAGCTTAAATGGGGCTTGCCCACTCCCCTCTACCAGAGAGAATCCGTCGACAAGTACGGGTCGGACTATGATTCCTTTCCATTCCAATGCAATCATGAAAGCATAGCACCTATTTAGTTGCATGTTGCATATGTCCGAAACACGAAACCCCCACTCTAGGATTTAAAAACCCCAAAGCCCCTAAGCCTTGCGCAGCCTTTCGTATTGCAAGCGTCCGTGAGCACGCTACTATGCATGTCGAACCTGGGAGGCCGTATGCGTAGTAGTCCAGCTGAAACGACTCCTGGAGATGCAGCTTCCAGGTGCGGGTTGTCAGACAATCTGACTGGCAGCGCATTAGGCACGGAGACTAACCCGAACACCCTTACCTTAGTCTGACTGCTTCACAACCCTGTAGGCTACTTTTTGTGCACCCAGCCTGCTTACAGGCCGCGAAATTCCTGTAACCTTTGTAGGTGAGGTCCTGCTTCCACAGCAGAGCGGTCGCCACCCAAACGATCACGAAGTACTGCAGTGTGTTTCCCCACCAGACCTCGGCATGCTGTCTACGAGATTGAAGGTCTCGTGGTTCGGCATTGAGTTGAGCATACCACGACCCTTGCCCTCTGGGCTTCGGTGTGCCGCTTCGGATTTCCAACATCACTTGAACCTTGCCCATCCAAGCCGACCTCAAAAAATATCTCTGAATGCCACTGCATATTTCTCCCAACCCCGAAATCTGACACCCACGGTGTCAATCTAAGCTCCAAATCTGCGTATGTATGATTTTGGTCGCTGACGCTCTGGGTTTATGATCTTGGGACACTGTAGCACCCTACATACAGCGAGGATTTAGAGCGGCAGAATTTAGAACTCGAAGCAAAAAGCGTCCCAAATAGGCCGCGGACGCCAGCACCCCATGGACCCGTGGCGACCCGGCCTTTGTGTCGGAGCGGATGATGTTCCCTTATCCTAGTCTCACCAAAAGAGGCCCAAGGAGGGCATCAGATGCCCCAACAGCTTCAGGAAGTGGCGAAGCAAGCTCTCAGACGAAGTTTAGATTTTGCTGCTTTGCAAATTATCCAGGATCTGCTGTTCTTGATGGTACATAGCAGAAGCAAGCCTGCTCTCCATGGATCGAGACCCCGCTGAAACCGATGGTTCGATTACCATCCGTTTTGCCTTCAGTCTTTTTGCCTTCTTCGTCTTGTCCTTTCTGCCTTCTTGCCGTGGCAATCTTATGTTTCTGCTACGCCGGATTGTCGAGTCGAGCCAGCAGTCTTCGGAGCTGCCCGTCGCATAGAACCTCTCCCAGCCCTGAGTTCTGTGGTGATGGAGGTTCGGAGCTGATCCCCTGCTTTTTATAAGGGTGTATATATATATATATGTATATATATATGTATATATATATATACATGCGCATACACACATACATGTAGATAGATAGATAGATAGATAGATAGACATACAGATACACATGCACAGATGCATGTGTGAATGTGAACCTATCTATATATATATATGTATGTGGGAGAAAAGTGAGAAAGACAGAGGCAAAGAGAGAGAGAGAGAGAGAGAGTTGTTGCCGGGGCTTTCTATTCATGTACATCCACTAACCTTCTGGCCGCCTGAAGACGCATCTCTCTCTCTCTCTGTCTGAACCCTTCGACACTTCAAAGGGAAGCCGAGCTTTCACCCAGGTCTGGTTCCCGCACCAGACCAAACCCTGCAGAAAAGTGGATCGGACGTCAAACTCTGTAGCCCTGACCCAACAGTGCTGAGGCTGCAGCGCACGATGCGAGTCAACGCTGGTCGAACCTGTATGAGTGCGCGGTGAAATTAGGCTTCAGCTTTCCCTGGCATGGCAATGTATGCAAAGCCAGACTCAACTGCGCAAAACCGGTCACAACCGTATTCATCCCGACCTTGGTCGAAACGGTCTCATGCCTATCGCAGTAAGACTTACAACTAGTGGCGGCAACAATATTAATAGTATCCGTAAGCAGAGCAATTACACACCACTTGGCACCAAAGCCCTCTGCCAGCTTCGCTTGGCGAATGGAAACCCGAGGCCAAAACCGAAGAACGACCAAAGCCTTGCGGGATATTATGCTTTGAACACAAGGGGGTATTAAGGAATCATGCTGCTGCTGATTGTTGAGGCGTTTTGAGCTCGAATGTCCGAGTTGGGCTTAAAAGTTTATGCACTTTTGCTGCGCCTTGTAGAATTAATGGCGCATTTTTCTGAGGGCCTCTGGCCTTTGCTACCAGCAAGCACACCTCGCGACGTTGACTCCGAAGTATGAGTAATTTGAGCGCTTCCGCAGCATCCGAAAGAGCTGCTTCTACAGCCGCTCTTAGCCCGAGGCTGCCGGTGGGTAGAACCTGGGACTGATCGCACCGATCCAGGTCCAAACCTCGCCGGCGCAGTTTCAAAATTCCTTTCCCTTTCATGCTTCTGAACTGGTTTAGGACTCGTAGTGCGTGTCCCGAAGCACCGCTGCTTCAGTAGGAGCTTCCCGTAAGTAGCGTAGCTTGGGTTCCACCAGTTTATTTACTCTTGCTTGGGCTTGGGTTTCGCATATTGGGGTTCAATGTTGTCTTGCTCGATGCTTGGGGCCGGGCGTCATTCCAGTACGTCCATCCGCCCTTTGGTGACCTAGCGGCAACGAGATCGGAGACCTTCAACTCCAGCGAAACTTCTCCAGCAAAATACAAATAAACACATACATACGTAAATAAATAAGTATCTTGATGTGTGCATGTGTATATATATGTATGTATGTATGTATGTATGTATGTATGTGTATATATATATATAGATGCAAGTCTTTGTGAGGAGTATGGAAGAGTGCATGGCCGGCCTCCCACACCCACTGCGTCCGTCCTTCCAGCTGACCAGGCAAGTTTCGCCTTCATTGGGTGTTGATGCGATGTGATTGTGCGAAGGGTTTAGAGTTTAGAGGTGTAGGGAAGCTCAAGGCATTTTTATGACACTCGAGTGACACACATTCACTCGCCGTACCGGTCGACTGACAAGCCAGGAACAAGTACCCACTCGAACCGCTCCCAACATGCGTGGTTGGGGTTTCAATTTGGGCTTTGATTGCTCTTGTGCTCGATAATGTGGTTCCAATCCGCACATTTCGTCGCCCCGTGGCTAGCTGCAAGCCGGGAAAGGATGATCGGGAGCTTCGCATGGTCGCAAGCACGAGGGACGGTTTTTTTTCCGCCTCCGCTGGCCTCTGGACCAGAAGGACTGCCGGGAGCCAACATCATAGCCCGATGCTTTGGTAATTACGGTTGGCAGGTTTGGACTCACGACCCGGACGATGCTTGGCAAGCGAGTGTCGACATCGCACGGTGGTAGCAATGAAGAATAAGTTCAACACGTAATCAGCATCACAACACCACCTCCCCGGATGGAAGTGTAACAACATTAGTTTGCATGGACGAGAGAGAGCTGCTGCACGCCGAAACCAAAAGCATGCATAGCATGCACCATGATGATCCTGCCAGATTAGCAGGGGTTAACCCTTCTCTAGGGATTCGGTGGAACACGGTTAAAATCAAATGCTGATGAAACAGTCTTTGCGCTGAAGAGGCATCGGCTGCCTGCAGTACGAAACTTCAGCGTCGTGTTCGGAAGATTCCTGCGGCTGCACTTGCACAAAACCTTCATCTCGGTTCAAACTGGCTGTGTGGAGACTGCTTTGCCGTTCACAGTTGACACATGCTGAAACGATGGCAGTTCACGACTACAGATGGCGTGTTCCTGAAGGCTATAAGAGTATCACGTACCTTGAGACGCTGGTATTACCAGCAGCTTCTTTGAGGACAGGACCCGTCCAAGCAAGTTCCACAGCTGGAGGTGATGACCTGATGCTTCCGGCTTCAGGCTCGGAGGGTGCAGAGTAATCGCAACAACACAAGAATAACACCGACAACCGCAATGCAATTCCTAGGAAACCGCTAGAAGTGAACCATGACCATGAGTAATGAGCAATTGACAACTGATGGTTCGCCGAACTACTCATACACAAACCATCATCTCCAAGACTCATTATAGCTGCATTCTGGAAACCTACCTGCAACCATCGTAAGCTTCAAGCTTCTTAGCATATACTTCCAGTACGGTGGCTCAGGGGTTTCAGGATTTGCATGGACGAGCACGTGCAAGCCCGAAATCTTAGTTCGTAGTCAGCCCAAGGTGTCGTTTGCGAAGGGACTCGAAATTTTGAGTTACGTCCGGGTCTTCCCAAAACCCTTCCGTCCCAACCCGTCAGGCTCCCGACGCCCAGGGCATGGCCGAACATCTGGAACGGCTGGGAAAAGCTGCTTTCAGACCTCATGCCGAGGTGTTGCATCCCGGGAAAAGCTCCATAGAACTCCTGTGGGCCCAAAATTCTCCTGCGTATCCTTCTCGCATGCCTGGATTCATTTGGAAAAGGTGTGCTACAAGGACACGTCGTGCACGATGTAAGTGCGGGGGCTTTGGGGCCACTTTGTGGGAAGGGGACAGCTCTCCGTCGCGAGGTCTTGCACGGATCTGTCCATGATCGGCGATCG